TGGGAGTGCAGGACCCAGACAGTCCCAGACGTCTATCTAAGCACACTCAGTGTAGTGAGAGAACCCCTTTAGATCCCCACATCCATGCCCTGTTTGTTCCCACTCACCTCTGTGAGACCTCTGATGCCTAGACACCAGCAGGGTGATGTTTCACCCACTGGAGGAGTGTTTGGGAGGGACACAGATCTTTATATTGCTAATCCTTGAGAATCAGATAGACACACACTAACATCTTTAAGTCTCATTTTTTTGCTTAAACTAGAAAAAGCTTGATGTGCAGTGTTTCTTGCATTACTCTTCTCCCTTTTCACTGTGTCATTCGAAAGTGTTTTTCTTCTGTTGCATTTTCATAACATTGTACATTATACCAGTGTTTTGCGTTTTTTTTTATCAATGCATCTATTTTTTGTAATTTTTTAATTTAAAAAGCCACGACTTAAAGTTTCTTACCAAGAAAGATCCACCAAATATATTTTTTAATGTTAAAAGCACAAAAATGTAAAATTATGCCATTTCACAAAAGAGACAATGATACAAATTTGGGTAGCAGAAATTTGTTTCTAATAACATCTTGATCTGAGAACACACGGGTCCCTGTACTTAACCGTACTCAGCAGTAAAAAGATCCTTATGCACACATTCATGCATATTATAAAATCTCAGATAACAGCAATCAATTTTTTTTTGCATCATTGCAATTAACATCTGTGTTTTTATGCAATGACACACTCCAGCCATATGTTCAGTGATCTACCTAAAATTGCATCTATTCTTGATTCTTCCTTTAAAAAATTAGAAATTCTGTGAGCATGCAAATATTGATTTAATTACTGAGGTTTAACTACTAGGGACAAGCTACCTCACTGTGAAGAGTATGTGGAGCAGAAGAGGTTTCAGGTTTGCAACAGCTGTTTAACTGTACAGTGATCAGCTTTCACAGCTGTATTGTGAAGCTATAAAACAGAGCATTTAATTACATTTAATTTTCTAAAAGAAAGTGTACTTGAAGTCAGAAACATCTATTAAGCAGGCAGATTTTGGACATGGGTTGGGGCTTCCAGCAACACTTACAAAACTTTTTTTTATTTGTTGTACTTCTTTTACTTCAACAACATGCCACATGCGTTTTACAGGCTTTATTGGATTATTATAGGGTGAATGAACATGCAGGCGCAGAAGCAGCTCCCTCTTCAGGTATGCAACGGTGACACTTTTATAGCTTCTCATGTGTTCTCCCTGCCAGTGTAATCTGCCATAGACACACAATTCTGCAGACACACAACCATGCATTCACGGTCACAGCTATAAGGCCCCTTCCAGACCTCCCGGGTGATCTGCAGTGGAGCGTGTAGCCACCTGTCAATCACCAGATCTCAGCCGCCTTAAGAGAGACATTTCGTCTGGGACAACGGCAGCCTGTCCCTCCCCATACATTCAGCCTCCCCTGGCAACCCTCGCCGGATGACTGAGAGGCTTTGTCCCCTCACAACGGGAGTCCACCATTGAACCCAGGAGCCCATAGCAACCAGAATTAGAGGGTGCCAGAAAGAGGTCTTTGCTGTGAGACAGGGGTGAAAGCTCTGTTCTTGTCCCCACGTCTGGGATTCATATCACGGGCCTGAATGGTGTCCCCTCCTCCTTTTAAATGCTGGTGTAACGGAGCGTATGAAGGGGCTAGCGGTGAGCGGATAGGATCATGGTTAATCTGCTGTTCCTCTCCACTGTGGTCCGATAGGGACACTTAAGCAGCCTCTGTGGCGTGGGGAGGCCTGGAGAAACCTACAGTGGACAAAACTGGGAGGTTCAAGAGCAGGCTGCAAACACTAATGGGCATAGTCCAAAGACAATTATTTAGCATAATTTAAATAAACAACATTATAAGAAAACTCAATAACAAGTACATTTAAAGTCCAGTGTTCTTGCCTGTGTAAAAAAAAAAAAAAGTTTTTAAAAAGTATTATCAGGAAAATGTTTCCTCCTCAAGGAGCTGGTGAAAAAGTAGGAACTGGTCATATTTCCAAAACAAGATGCCCTGTAATACATACATTGTTATAAAACAACAATAGTTTGTTTGTACTGATACATTTGTATGTAACTAATATTTTGCTTGTGAAGTATTTTATATCGCCCTGCCAAATACAATTGTGGCCAAATCTGGCCAAAATCTGTTCTCATAAGGGCCACATTTACCCATGAGTAAAGACGTGAGCTTGATGAAAGCCTGGCAGCATCACTTCAGTCACAGGTCCACCTTACCTGGGCTTGCACAACATGTGCCACTAATATAACCAAGTGATAATTTCCAAAATCAGGAAGTGACTGAACTTTTTTTTTTTTTTTGCAAGAAAAAATTACAAACTCATTCTGGAACATGCCACTCTCTCTTAAATGTAATGGAATAAAAAAATAGTTGAAAATGCCTCAAAGGAAAACATTGGACAGGAGTGATGGTGGGAAATATAGGACTCAATTAGTCCCAGGATTAGACATCACAAAGACAGTCCAGATCCTAATGGTCAGGAAAGTTTTGAAATGCCTGCTGTGAGATCACCTTTAGGGGACACTGAAACTGCAAACAGAATGTGAGCAGATTAGGCAGAGAGAGAAAAGACTAAGGGCTTGAATAGTTTATGAACAGTTTTATGGACTCGTGGTTGCTTTCAAAAGGGCTTTTACAGCTCTCTCTATAAGAGAGTGAACATAGATTCCTGAATACTACTCTAACCACGGTAGGTGCTTGTAACTGTAAAGGGAATTCATTGCGGTTTTACTGCAGTGTGGATGGCGTGTATCTATATCTATAAAACAATCCCATGAACACACAGAAATAAAAAAAATACCATATTGTGCTGTTTGGTTTGAGGAGTGGCAAAAACAAATACAATCCCAATTTCAAAAAAGATGTTATGCTGTGTAAATAGTAAATGAAAACTAAATGCAATTATTTGCAAACCTCATATAACCATATTTTATTCATATTCATTAATATGGCCCGAGCTTCAGAAAAAACCCCGTTTCCACAAATTGTAAAACAATTTCTGAATAATTTTCCTCAGCGTAAAATTGTGGAGACTTTTAACATCTCATCATCTACAGTGCATAATATCAAAAGACTCAGAGAATCTGGGGAAATCTCTGTCCGCAAGGGGTCAAGGCCAAAAATCGGTATTAGATGCCTGTGAATTTCGGGCCCTCCGGCAGCATTGCATTAAAAACATACACGATTCTGTCATGGAAATCACTGTGTGGAGTCAGTCAGCAACATTTCCAGAAAGTTTTGTACGTGAACACAGCTCATTGTGCCATCCACAGATGCAAATTAAAGCCCCATCATGCAAAGAAGCCATACAGCATCTATTACAACAGCATAGCTTTGTAACAGAAGGTGCTGAACTAGCCTGCCTGCAGTTCAGGCCTTTCACCAACTGAAAACATTTGGAATGTTTCATCAAGAAATGAAAAATACAACAAAAAGGGTTTAGGGTTGCAGAACTAAAAGCTAAATGTCCACAATCAGGTGCACCAACACGACCTCCCACGTTGTGTTTTAGTAACGTAGTGTTCTGTACATTTTAGGAGATTACAAACTAATCTCAACCAACAAACAACATTGCTGGCATGCAGAGAAAACATGCTTTGCCTGGTATGTTCTTTATCATTAATGAGCATCTCCACAGCCCCCTATATGGGAGTACGTTTTGTGCAGCTCTCATTCTAAGCTCCTTCTGTTCCCACCCTCTCCTTCCTTCGACCTGTCAATCAGAGATCATGATTGAGCCTGGATGGCAGGCAGAGGGTCATCAGCAATGAAAGTGAGGCCTCATTCTCTGTCCATGCCTCCCTCTTTCATGCCCCCCAAAGGTTTTCCCCAACTCACCTTCTCACTTTGCTCTCAGGAATGAACGTGTGGCCAGCGTCCATCCGAAGGACCTTCTTTAAATGCTGAATTTGGGAAGCCCCTAAGGTCCGGCTGCCTTAACCTCAGAGGGGACGGCATGGCATCATTTAAAAGTAAGCCTGATTTAGTTTTAACAGGCCTCTGCATTTGCCCTTTAAGTGGCTGATGAATAAACATGAGGAGAGTTGGGGCGGGAACTGCATGGGGGTAGCATGAAAAGAGCTGAGGTTTGTGTGTGGGTGTGTGCACATATGTGCGTGTATGTATTATAGGGGGGTATCGGGGGCAATGGGGGAGCCTTTCTTCCCAGCAGGGCTGCATCTCGTTTAATTGGAGCACTTGTGGCACCATTACCTCCTTTACTCAAACACGTTACTGATGACAAAAGAAAACAGCGCTAAGCCTGCTTTTGTCAGCAAAGAGACTGGATGAGGAGATGGATTCCTTGCTGCTACTCATGTGTGGGAATCATCCACACTCCCGCCATGAGCTGGTGCTGGTGCTGCTGCTGCTGCTTCCGCCTTCAACCAGTGAAATGCCACAGACGTGTGGGCAGAAGACAGAGCATGTGTGAATCCAGCCTTCATCAGAAAATGAAGGATAGACGATGCACAAATCAATGCTATATTTAGCAATTATAGACAGACTAGGCATCATCTAACATTTATTGCATGAACAACCCACACTTGTGCATTTTTTTTACCCATCCATGTGGAAAAAATAATATCAATATGGAATATGTATGACTTCACAGAAATTCTCCTAATGAATTCAAAATAATTAACTCCAGCATGTGTGTTCAACCCTGTCAGGGATATTGCCCTTTTGTGACATGAGGTCAAGATCTTATGGCTGATCTCTAGTTTGTTTTGGTCACCAGAGTGTCCCGGGAGAGCAATAAGAGTGCGACCTTTACCCTGAGTTGCATCGCCACTAAAGAGGAGCCGTTGAAGGAGGTACAGTCCCTCTCACATTTAAATTTGTATTTCAAGTGCACCGCTTCAAACAAAAATTTACGTGAAAGTGGCTACATTTATTTAATTGCTAAATATATCCAAACTTAATTATTCACATACAGACAAAGCAGGCATAGGACATTGTACACTTTCTTAATAACTTTTAATTTCCAAAATTACATTACGATCAATACAATCAGTGTAGAACGTTTAAGAATACAAATATCAACTTCTGACAAAACCAATTTTCAGATCAGTAATATCAATAAACATATCTGGTAACACATTCCTTCTATAGCCTATTTTACCATTAGCAAATTGTGATAAGCTGGAATCATCCAACAATCAAAAAGGTGTTGACTAATGTCTTTGTTGCTAACTCTAAAAGTACTCATAAGAAGAGGCCGCTGCACGAAGGGGAAAAGAACAGCATATTAACTTTATAAAATTCCTTATGTGTGATTGCATATTTACATTTCCATCATTCTTTGTAATGCTTGATAAGAGGGTGGTGATAACACGTTACCAAATGTATTCATTTATTTACTTTAATGTCACAGGATAACTTGGGTCTAAATCAATCAGTATCAAGATTAATACCCGTCTCATTGTAAAAATTCTCCATGAAGATACACACCAAAAGAAAAAAAAACCCTACTCAAATGCATCTAATGGAAATATCATTTTCAGATGTAACTAATGAGACAATGAAGGAAGCTGACAGAAAGGTTTGTCTAAAAGTTGTGTACTCTTAGATTTTACCTGCAGTTCATTACATCACACAGACCAAAATCATTTAGATTTGGATCAGGAGAAATGTTGAATAGGAGATTCTACAAATGCATCGCAACGTGGTTCAAAGCACAAGACAAAACTTTTCTCTTGAGTAGTTTAGGTCAGCTTTAGAGGTATTATTGCAAGCGACACGAGAATTTACATAAGTCAATTTACCGGTCTCTTTACTTTGAAATGAGTCAAATCAAGGTAATTCCCCCCACTGAATGTTTGACCTACTGTCAGCTGATTTAAATGGAATAATGTGTTCAGCTAGCAGAAGATACATTACTCCTCCAGTAGTTTTTAACTCAAACAAAAAACGAGATTTTGAAATACAATTCAGTCATAACATACTGACAAACATATCACTGTATGAAAAACAGCTGGTGCTGACAAGTGGTCATTAATTGCACGAAATGAACATTTTTGTCCAGTGGGAGAATGATAGGAAACAAGGCAGATGTCCATTAAGATCGAGCCCTGGACTCCGACTCCATGGTGAAATTTGACTCGGCGCTAGAAAACCAAATTTCACAAATTACAAGATCTGGCCTGAAGACATTCATGTGGTCATTACATATTAACTCTACTAAGCAGATTCCAAAAAATAATTACTAGTTGCATTTTTGTTTCTACTATAAACATGACTGTTGTTGCATAACTTCAAGGTCACATTGAAGAGTTAACCATGTGAAGCAGTTCTGTGGAAAACCCCGTTTCAACAGAGAGCACAGGTTAACTTAGCAGCATAGAGCACAGCATCTGCGTTAGCATCTTATGATTAAACCCACACCTAGAGGTTGTAGGAGACGTCTATGTCTCTGAGGTGTCGTGTTATCCGCCACCTCACCTCCTGATTACACTGTATTCAACACCCTGAAAATATATCCCTCACACAATGGCAGGAGTTACATCAAGATGTGTGAATAATCCCAAAACTGTGCTGTGCTGCCATCGAGAGGAGACTGAATGCAGTACAGTCTTGAACAACAAAAGGCAATGACTGCATCATTAGTTTGGTATGAAAACAGCACAAATCCTCGACAGATAAAAGTAGGAGACACTTACATATCTTTGTTTTGCACGTGGTTGTTGTACTGCAGGATTGTTGGGATGCTCTCCTCCTCCTCTGGGACCTGTTGATATTAGAAGGCAAACATTGTGATCTCAGGAAGATAACAAGCATATGAACAACTATCGTCAGAATATCTGATTTCATGGTTTCTTATTAAATTTGGGGAAAAGTTAAAGAGTAAATTGGATGTTTGTACCAGAAGAAGAGTGAATGACGGCAGACTATTTGCAAATGTTAACGCTGGGTTGGAGAAACAGCCTCAGAATGAGCAAAACACAACAACAAATGTTTCTACAAGTAGCATTAAACCAAGACTGTAATTTAAAATCTCTTTGTCAATTTATATACACATTGGAGCAAACGTGTGCTTCAAAAATAGGTATGACCATTTAATAAAATTCATCACTCAGGGATATCAATAAAGCTTTTTTTTCTTTTTGTGCATCCTAAAACTTTCTGTGTGCTGAAATAGCGACTGAATTCTGATTTTACATTGCAAATCCTTACATCCTCATAAATGTAAGGATGTTAAGATTTATCTCTCACCTCCCAGTAGGTCTCATCATCAAAGCAGTTGTCATCTGCAGGATCTCCCCAGATAGGTAGCCTTAAGATAGCGCCTAATAGGAAGAGAAAAACTAAGTCATTATCATCACTGTCTGAAAAGCAGTTTTTAACAAGTGTATATATTCTGTCAAACTGATTTCCTTACCAACAATGATGCCTCCACCTATGCCGAAGCACAACGCCACACAGAGGCCCGCTGCCTGGTGACCGCCCTGCGTTGTGGGTACCATGTCTTTGAATTTACCCTCAAAGTCAAAGGTGTTAACCAGCCTTTTTTTAAAAAAGGGGAGGGGAGCTCAATGAAAAGAATACAGGTATTGCAACTGTTTTTTCCTCTTTAAGCCATTTATTTGAAACGGGAAACACAGCCATAATGTCTGGCTGAATGTTTCCTTTTTGTAGGCAAGGAAAACTCACCCTTCATGGCCATAAACTTCAATAGATGCAGATGCAGCTGTAATGGCTCCCACAATGCCACCTACAACTCCTGGCATAGCGTGGAGGTTGTGGATTCCACACGTGTCCTGGATCTTCAGGTGCTTCTCCATGAATGGCTGAAAGATTTGTCTGATTTTACTACACAAGCATAGTTATAGTAATATCACTTTCTCACTTTAGTAGAGTAAGAGCACTCCTGTCACCAGTTTGCATGCCTGTGGGATGTTATCACAGGGAGACACTAAACAGTTTAGTTTAGTTTATTTATTTATATAGCACTTTTAATTACAACAGTGGTGTTGACCAAAGTGCTGTACAAACATATAAATTACATAATAAAATAACACGCAATAAAATAGCAAAATCAGTCAACATCAATGCCAAATAGCTAATAACAAATAAATAAGTAAATAACTCTCGTGCAGTA